CGAATCTGTGTTTGAGCCCATGGGCAGTTCGTGTTTGGCCGCACAGTTTAACACTACTAAAAAATGGCCAGGTATGAATGTTCTGTGCAAGAAATTGCACCAACTGTTAATGTAAGATATACATTTAAGATTCTTGCTTTCTGACATGTCTTCTTCTTCCTCTTCTTCTTCTTCGTTCTACTTTGCGTTCTCGGGCTGTAAATTTCTTTTTGTTCGCCAACTTCTGCGCTTGCATGCACATCGATTTTACAGATCTCGCTTATTTGTAAGCAGACTGTTGGTTCTTTGCGTCACAGTGAAAAATACGCTGACTTGGAAGAGACAACCAATAGTTAGTTGTTTTTTGTGTGGCATGCTTGTTATAATGCAGCTGTTCTTTTCTTGGCGCCCCCCCCCCCCCCCCACCCTTTTTTTTTTACGAAACTCAGAGCATTTTTACTTGTAATAATCTGTAACAATAATGTTAATTTTTCCCCAGTTAAATTTTTATGTAATATGAACAAAGAAGACACAGAAAGTAGATTGTAAGGCAGCAACCAAAGCCAGAAGGAGGGTAGCCATTCTGAGAAAACTAAGTGGAACCACATGGGGTGCTAGCGGGAAAATACTTAGAAAAGTTTACCAACAAAGTGTTCGACCACATCTTGAATACGGATCAACAGCATGGAGTTCGGCATCAAAAACCACATTGCAAGAATTAGACAAAGTGCAAAATCAAGCACTCAGAGTTACCACAGGCAGTATGAAATCAACACCAATAGCTGTGATGGAGAAAATGGGGATGACCCAAGCACTAAGTGAACGCAGAGACACCAAGATGCTTTTACAAGCAGAAACGTTTCTTACTTAGTATGCCCAGTCACCCTATGAATGAAAGATTCAAAAATTTAGCTTTGGGACGACTAAAGAGAAGTAGTTTTATCCACCAGGCCAAACGGCTCGGCAGACAAACCACTGATTTACCTGCAACTGATAGATCCTTAAATGCTGTCCCAGAACGGACCCCCTGGAGAGAGGAGTATAAGTTTCCAATACACATCAAGACTGAAGTGAAAGGGGTATTAGACAAGGAAGAACAAAACAGTGTGCAGCGCAAAACAGCCACCCTCAGTTTACTTGATGATGAATACCCGCAGAACCTTTGGGTCCGTGTTTACACAGATGGGTCAGCAGAAAGCGCAGTCAGAAACGGAGACGGAGGTGCGGGAGTGTACATTGAGTATCCTAATAATACCAGGGATACAGCCAAATTACCAACGGGAAAGCACTGTCACAACTATGATGCAGAAGTTCAAGCCATCAAGATAGCGGTAGAGAAACTACTAAATACAGGGTATTTTTCACAACCAGTGGTATTCCTGACAGATGCAAAAGCAGTACTTCAGTCACTCCAGTCTGGAAAATTACCAAGCATACGGACACTATTATCCGAACTAGGCAACCGCTGTAAATTAGTAATGCAGTGGATACCTTCCCACTGTGGAGTTCCCGGAAACGAAAAAGCTGATAAACTAGCTAAGGAAGGTGCAACTGAAGAACAACCTGACATACCAGTCTCTTATCAACAGAAGAAGAGAATGATCAAATCAATCAGAATGCCACCGAAACTGGCACAAGATGATTACCATATTATGGACAGACCAGAGCAAGTTATTATCCTTCGCCTTAGAACAGGGCACAATAGACTTTGCTCCCACATGTACAACAAATTTAAGATTGGCCAATCGGCCATGTGTACTTGTGGACTGGCACCTGAAACAACAGATCACATCCTTCAAGACTGTCCCTTATTCAACGCTTTCAAGAAGAAGAAGAAGAAGAAGAAGAAGAAGAAGAAGAAGAAGAAGAAGAAGAAGAAGAAGAAGAAGAAGAAGAAGAAGAAGAAAAAGAAGAAGAAGAAGAAGAAGAAGAAGAAGAAGAAGAAGAAGAAGAAGAAGAAGAAGAAGAAGAAGAAGAAGAAGAAAACACAACAACAGCAACAACAACAACAACATCACGAAAACAAGTACACTGTGTATTCGTCAAAGCTTTCAGGCAAAATATTTGGCCAAAAGAGACACTTGTGGAAGTCAAACTTTACGGGCCGCTTAGTGAATTACAAAAGACAGTGAAATTCATACAAGAGACGGCTTTGCAGATATAGACAATTTATTTCATGCGAACGAAAGAAGAAGAAGAAGATTGTAAATTTATTGCCTGGCAAATTTCGCTGTATCTTCAAAATGAGAATAATGGCCGCAAAGATCACCCCCTCTGCAATAGCACGCCATCTTCTAAATCACGTGGTAACTAAGAACAACGCATTTCAAGGCTCCACCCCGGCTAGGCAGATTACTTAGTAACCGTCGGGTCCCTAATATAACTTTCTTGCGGAACGACGTGTCTGGGATTTCCCCTCAGGGATTTCCATCTGATTAATGGGGCATGACATATGCGTTACATTGTGTTAATCGTTCAGTGTGAAATCCAGGTGGGGCTTCACTCACTCACTCACTCACTCACTCACTCACTCACTCACTCACTCACTCACTCACTCACTCACTCACTCACTCACTCACTCACTCACTCACTCACTCACTCCCTCTCCTCACTCCCTCACTCACTCACTCCCTCACCTCACTCCCTCACTCCCTCACTCACTCACTCACTCACTCACTCACTCACTCACTCACTCACTCCTCACTCACTCACTCACTCACTCACTCACTCACTCACTCACTCACTCACTCACTCACTCACTCACTCACTCACTCACTCACTCACTCACTCACTCACTCACTCACTCACTCACTCACTCACTCACTCACTCACTCACTCACTCACTAATTGCAACGTTATTTGCTTGACTCTTTTCTTTTCGTTTTGTTTTTGTTTACGCCAGTTGGTTATTGTTGTTTGTTTCATGTTTAGGTACTCTAAACTACAAGAGCAGTGATAACACCATTTTTTTAACATCTCACTCAAACTATTCACCCCAACTCACTGCGTTCTTGCCACTCACTCACGTCCCTGCAACGTTATTGGCCCAGACTCTTTTGTCCATTTGTCCATGGGAACCCATCAGCTTGGTGGATCGGGCAGCTGGCTAGATACATCTTTAGGTGACTCTAGTCCTGTTGGAAGAGGTGATCAGTAGAGGAAAGAATTTTTTTTACAAATGAATTTGTCTATTAGGTAGAGAGTGCCTGGTAGTTCTTGCCTGGTAGTCTTAGTTTTCAGCTTCATAGCAGACTTGGCCCATCTTTGCTCCGCTCCTGTCCAGCGAAAAACATCAGAATGTCTATCACAGTCTTGGTGGAAAGGGACGGACTGGCTGTCTCAGCATATCTAGGCTACACCATCGCATTAAAGCATATGTAGATCCGAAGTGCTAAAGAAACAGTCCAGTTAGAAATGCAGTTTCATCATTGTAGGTAGCAGAGTTGTCGTCATAGATCAGCAGTTGTCCGCGTGATCAATTTTAATACGAGTTTCGGAACGTAACTGGGGACGGAAAGGGGGACAGGCACACTGCCCCTAACAAGCATGTCGTAAGAGGCGACAAAGTATTTGTGTTTACGTTTGAAATCGGAGTACATATAACCAACAGTCTGCATGCAAATAAGCCAGATCTGTAAAATGCATGTGGATGCAAAACTCAAGTTCAAGAGAAAGACCACAGTCTAGAAGTGGACGAACAAACATAACGTTCTGCTGGAGTTTACAGAAGGTGAGCGTTGAAAAAGAAGGAGAAGACGGGGAATTTAATATTTGATTAGTTTTACAGAAGAGTTAATAAAGCTCATCGAACAGCTAGAAAGAGTCACTATGCCTGACCCTGAATGTTTTCAGACCAACACTTCAACCCGCAACACTTGTCTTTCCTCGTCCAGCTATGCTCTGATTGCTCGTGCGACACTGTGAGCTGTGGATTTCATGTTGAATAATTTTCTTTCTTGTTGTGCGTGCAAAGTGTTTTTTATCGCAGTCATCACTACTGGCCTGCTGTTGAATGCACCAAAATTGCAGGCGGCCGATTACGTTCAGAATGGAGTTTACTTTTCTGAGTGCAACGCGTGCTTTAGTGATTGTCTTTTATCAGAAACCAATGAGCCAAAATTCTTGCGTAGGACCTTTAGTATTGGCACTTTTGACAGCTGCCTCTTGCATCGAAAGTCTGAGTATGCAAGCTTAGTTTCTCACGTGGGACAATGATGGACATTTTGTAGGATTTCTACTGGCACAGGAATGTAGCAGTTAGGAGGTGATCATACTGCAATGTTGCTGGAACATCGACTAACAACTTCACACCGGATTTATAGAGCTAGAATCTAGTTGCCCAGGCCAGTTAAGCCCATCCCCCACCCCGATTCGCCCTCCCACGAGAGGGAAAAAATGAATATAAGTTGAAAAATATCGTGCAGTACAGTTTCTTGTTGGAATCTGATATGTTGGCTCGAAAAAACAGAAGATATCGCAGCCTCCCTGTAAACTACAAAACAATGTGATAACCATGTTTCACAGAAGCAAACGAAGAAGAAGAAAAATAAGAAGAAAAAAAAAGAAGAAGAAGAAAAAGAAAAGAAGAAGAAGAAGAAGAAGAATAAGAAGAAGAAGAAGAAGAAGAAGAAGAAGAAGAAGAAGAAGAAGAAGAAGAAGAAGAAGAAGAAGAAGAAGAAGAAGAAGATGATGATGAAAAAGAGTAAGAAGAAGAAGAAAAAGAAGAAGAAGAAGAAAAGTAGAAAAATAAGGAGGAGGAGGAGGTTATGGAGGAAGAGCATGTGAATAAGATGAAGAAGAAGAAAGAGAGGGAGAAAAGTCCGATACAGTCTTTACCTTTAATATCCTGTCTTTATATAACAGAAGTGACCACCTTTAATGGAATCTCTTTTATCATAAGCTTGTCTTATCCAGCACAACCGCTCTCGTTAGTATGTAATCTTGTTCTGTCCAACAGTATCCACATACGTAGAACAGACAAACTTCTCTTAGAAGCGGCGTCTTATCCAGTTGAAGAATACATGTACCATGTAAAAGAATACTACGACCAGGTAGAACGGACACAGCCGGGCATCACTAGAAGGGTGTACATTGCTACAGATGAACCAACTGTATTGTCAGAAGCTATAAAGAAGTAAGTCTCCAGTACTGGATTTAGGCTAAAGCTAGCTAAGCTACACTTTAAAAAGCCAATATGTCCTACTGAAGTCTGCCAGTGTCCCTCTGCCAATTGCCAAAGTCTAATATATGTCCGATGAACCAACCGTAAGCTTGCCACTTGTTTATTAAAGTAGCTGACTAGTCTAATAGGCTGCCGCAGCGACAATATATATATATATATATATATATATATATATATATATATATATATATATATATATATATATATATAACTTTGAATCTTACCGTACCTGTTACATAGTCACCATTTCGTCTTGTCCTAGAACATCCGGTAAAGTGCAGCAGGGAAAGATCGAGGCCTGGGAGTCAAGACCCAGGTCAGCCGAGGTATCTTTCAACTGATCATCGGTGGACCCCTGTTGTATATCCTCACCTGTGTTGTTCTTCTTATTCTTATAGAGACTCATAATCTGCCGGGGCCTAAAAAAATCGCTTTATTTCCCCAACAAATTATTTATTTTTCTTTGAGCTAAAGGAAAAAAGAAAAAGAAAAAGGAAAACAAGAAAGTATAGCTGTGGAAAGAAATATGTTAGCAACAATATGGATCACACCCCCCCCCCCCCCCCTCCCGCCGCCTTTTTCTGAACTGGATGAAAAAACCACAGGAAACAAAGATGAAAGCTCGTTTCCAGCGACCTGCAATTAAATATCTCTGAGCGATGATACACACTGATATCTAGATCTAACACAGTTCAACTTGTGGATACAATTTAGATCTAACACTGCCTAGCTACTGAAACGTACCACACCGTAGACTCAGTGAACTAGTTCGGGTATCTCTGCTCAGTCCCCTGAACCAACGTAGCAGTAACACCATTAAGGGTTACGCAACGCTGATAGGTGGGTCGAAGTGTTTCGATGGCGAATGACGACACCAGAATGCCTAAAGCTAAGAGGTCTTTTTCCGGTGTGTCAGCTTTCTATAGCCAACTTAACTCCATTTCGGGAGAATTTAAATTTTTAGACTTGCCAGTTTTTAATTCGCATGCAGCCAAACCAGCCTGTGACAGGCTACAGTGCGTTGTCACCCTGTGACATGTTTAATATATTTTCTTCTTAAATTACTGGAAACTTTCCAGTTAAGAAGAATTCGTTACATTATCTCAATCTATTAATTATTTCTTGCAAGGAGGTTTTCATTGGGAAAAATGGGGGGGGGGGGGGGGGGGGGGGGAGCAATTTAAAAAGTGAGCCCATTTGCACTGTAATAATTTGTTATACTTACATAATGTTTTAGTTCAATTACAAATAATATTTTTTAGCACTATTTGTTGAATAAAACGACAAAAACCTTATTGTTTTTATTGAACAGTGTGTGCATCTATCGTTAAACATCTCGTTAATAAAATAACGTGAGCATTTAATTATGGATTAAGAACTAATTCTAGCCAAAACGTATCTAAATACTTTTTGTTTCTCTTGTTGAGGAGTCGATTGTTCTCCTCCTTTTAAGCCCATGTGGTTGTCTGTGTGTGGGGCTGGTGGGGGGGGGGGGGTGGGTCGGTGGGTCGTGCCTGTCTTATTCTATTTTTAGGGTGGGGGCGGTGGGGACAGGGTGGGGGCGGTGGGGACAGGGTGGGGGATGTCTTGTGATATACTCAAGTGGATTTAGGGGTCTTGCAATATTCTCAAGCGTTTTTAGGTGTCTTGCCATATACTCAAGGGTTTTTAGGTGTCTTGACATATAATCAAGGGTTTGTAGGGGTCTTGTCTTATAACTCGAAGGGGTGTAGGTGTCTTGCCATACATTCAAGGGTTTGTGGGGCTCTTGCTATATACTCAAGGGTTTGTGGGGGTCTTGAAATATACTCAAGGGTTTGTGGGGGTCTTGAAATATACTCAAGGGTTTGTGGTGGTGTTGCCATATACTCAAGGGTTTGTGGTGGTGTTGCCATATACTCAAGGGTTTGTGGGGGTCTTGAAATATACTCAAGGGTTTGTGGGGGTCTTGAAATATACTCAAGGGTTTGTGGGGGTCTTGAAATATACTCAAGGGTTTGTGGGGGTGTTGCCATATACTCAAGGGTTTGTGGTGGTCTTGAAATATACTCAAGGGTTTGTGGGGGTGTTGCCATATACTCAAGGGTTTGTGGTGGTCTTGCAATATATTCAAGGGTTTGTGGGGGTCTTGCCATATATTCAAGGAGTTGTAGGGGTCTTGTGATATACTCAAAGGGGTGTTGGAGTCCTGTGATATGCTAAAAGGGTTGTAGGCGTCTTGATATGTATTGAAGGATATCACTTTTACCCTAGAAGTTCTAGCTTAACATGGCTAATGGTTTTTATTCCACAAACACACACACACAAACACACACCCACACAAACAAACACACACACACACTATGCACTGAAGAAGTAAAACTAACAGTTCACATATAACGTCTGCATTGTAACAATCAGTCGCCGTGGTACACCAAAAAAGGCGATGGGAGTGACGTCCCCTTTAGCTTACCTCTGCATCCCTCCCGCAGGCCTTACATATTTAAAAACACCAAAAGAAAAAAAAAAATCTACTGAAGGCACACTCCCCAGCCCCAAATAATAGTAATAATAATAATGATGATAATAATGATGATGATGATAATAATAATAATAATAATAATAATAATAATAATAATAATAATAATAATAATAATAATGAAATGTAAAAACGATTATATTTCAAGAACAAATCTACGCAAGACTGAAGTGAGATCTCGTAGTCTCTTTTGAAATATTTGAGAGTTGGAGGTCTCAAGTGGCATGTCCTCCCTTATTACCCCCCCCCCCTTTTTTTTTCTCTCCCAACCTCCAGTGCATAAGGTAATACCTATGTGCGATCAAGAAAACAGAATGTGCAATTTTACTTAACTCATATGCCTCTCGTTTCTAAATCTTGCAGATACCCAAACTACACATTTATCAACGACTTCAACGGTACACGGACAGCGTCAATGGCAAGCAGAAACTCAAAGGAATCCCTCCACGGAATCATCACAGATGTGTATTACCTGGCCCGTTGTGATTACTTAGTCTGCACCTTCTCTTCCAATGTGAGTTCGAATCTCTTTTCATAAGTGAGAAGTTAAACATTGACATCATAGTACTCTGTCGTCGACCGAGTCGCTTACTGTCTCGACGGTAGACTACATCGTCGACGGTCGGGACAGTATTTGGGTCTGCCGCCTTTGATCGCATCAACACTCCAGGCGTCAATTTCACGTCTTTTGGTGGCGTGCAACGCTAAGTTATTTTATGTGGCGCACATAATCTAGCCACAGTTATAATCTAATGCCCCCTCCTTTGAGGATACTGGTTGAACGTGACGATATAAATATATTTTTTTCAGCATAGCACACATTACAGGACTTTGGACCAGGGAAAGCAAAATATTTTTTTGGGAATGAGACCATATTTTTTTCAAAGGTACCAACACACGCCATAAGGTAGATAACTTTTCATTACTAATTTAAAACCCCCCCCCAAAAAAAATCCTTATAAAACGAACAGCACACACACACACACACACACGCACACGCACGCACACACACACACACATACCATCATATATATATATATATATACACACACACACACACACAAGGGTTGAATATAAGTAGGCCACAAGAAAGACCAATAAGACGAAAGAGAGGTAACATACAAGCAGACACTTGAAGTCAGCAACTAGCGAGACAAGGCCAGTGACAAAGACAGGTAGAGGCGTCAGATATCTGTAGCCTAGAAGTCTGCTCCAGTAATTTCCAAACTTTTTCCAGTACCCCTTTCGAAACTCTCACGAAAATGAGAGCCTTGATAGAGATTCGAAGCTTATCACATCACACACAGAATACCAATTGCTATATAAATCATAAGTCTAGCCCTATATGCCCAATATCCTTAAGGACGAGGAAGAGGGTCCTTTACTCTTCCATCAAAGATGCAAAACCATAAAAAGATTAGATATGAATACAAGAGGTCGGCTAAAAACAAATGGGTCGACGACGTTAAAGACCCTTCCCAGCGGCACGGAATGATACAGACAGAGGCCGAATCAGGCGGCACTGTAAGGGGACTAGCCCTATTTGCCTAACAGCCTTAAGGACGGGGAAGAGCGTCCTTTACTCTACCAACAAAGATGCAAAACCATAAACAGATCTGATATAAATACAAGAGGTCGGCTAGCATAAAATGGGCCGATGACTTTGAAGACCCTCCCCAGCGGCACTGAATGATACAGAGAGCGGCCGAATCAGGCGGCACTGTAAGGGTGGCAGAATAGGCGGCAAAACACAATTTAAGGGGCGGCACTTTGGAGACTTGCAACATACTGCGAAAATCTGAAGCACGGCCCTGAGTGTAAAGATGTTAATAAACGAGCTTAGGAGACAATCTCATATTTTATTGGTATGCCCTATGTGCAATGAAAATAATATTGAAATGAACACTGAACGGCCTACAGCGTCCTTAGATCAGTGGTCTCTAGCCTGCGGACACATGGCGCCCCTAGAAAGAGCGCAAAGAGGTTTCACTCTATTTTGAAAGTGGGTGCATTTGTACTGTAATACTCAGTTTAATTGAAATATTGTTTTAGTTTTATTACAAATAACATTTTTTTTTCAATATTTAAAATAATAGCTATTGCCACCCGTTAAACGATGTATCGCAAATTATTTATCCCCACGTCGCTCAACAGCAAAAGTGGAAATTTATCATGCATTAAGTGATTCTTGTAAATAGTCGTATTAATCAAGTGCCTACCAACTGCAGATAAAAAAAAATAAAAATAAAAATTAGAACAAGTTGAAACCTTTAAATATCTTGGCTCCCACGTATGCAAAAATGGCACTTGTACCAAAGAAATCACACAAGTCTTGATATTACAACAGCTAAATACGATGTTGAAGTGAGTTGAGTTGATTCAGAAACCGACATCACAGCACTCGGGGCATTCCCATAATCGCTCCGCACCCATCTCCAGCAGCCAATAAAGAGTTCTCACACTAATGGTGCCGGTAGCATTCTGATTAAACGTCCGTCTTGCCTTTACTCAGAGCCTCGAGCATCTGCAAGAACCTCTCGTTCCCGCCCGCTGCATCAGTCTCACCAGACTGTGGTGATCCATCTGCTCCTCAAAACTGTACACGCTCTCCCACAAGGCACTAACCACGTCTGCTTAATCATGCATCAGTATTCCACCAAGTTGTGCAGAGCCTGCTAGTCTGTCCCCTGTTCATTTCCCAACACACTAGCGTGTCCCGGTGAAAAAATCCAGACAATATTCCCCACCCGTGTCCTCCGCAGACAAGCATGTCACTCTGCATGAATCATGCCTGCGCTGACCTTCCTCAGCATGCTTTCTGAGTCAGTTACAATGACGATGTATGTGTGTCTTGTGTATATGTGTTGTTCTCTAGCCATCGGAAAGCTGCATAATTTGCTAGACTCTTCTGCACCAAACGTCGATCATTAACTTTTGCTAAGAAACCGCGATATGGAAGAGCAAAATCAACATCGCATTCAAGGTCAATATTTACACATCTCTGGTATTGTTTATTTTCTTACAAGGATGTGAGAGTTAGACTTTTACTGTGGAAATTGAAAGGAGGATTCCACCTTTCAAATGTAAATGCTACAGGCGCATTTTACGAATTAGGTATTTAGAACACAAAACTAAAATAGTAAGTCAAAGACTAAATATACAAATTTGCAGGACATCAGGAGCCTCTCTTCGCAGTTTTGAAACGCCACAAGCCAGTTTGGTTTGTGCACGTGGTGAGACAAGATTCGACTGCAAAGACAGTTCTTCAAGGAACTTGTGGGGGATTGTCGAAGAAGAGGGGCGAAAAGAAGAACCTGGAATGACAACATCAAGAAATGGGCATGATTAAGTTATCATACAATTATTCATCAAGAGGCAGACAGAGAAAGATGGCTGGTTTTATGGGCACTGCTTCAATCAATACACCTCCACAGCCCTAATGAGTCAAGTGTCATGTTATATTATGTAAGTGATGATGCATTTTCTGAACAGGTTTGTCGACTGGCGTACGAGCTGATGCAGACTGTCCATGGAGATGCCTCCACGAATGTCCGTTCACTGGATGCTATGTATTTCTTTCACGGACAGAACGGTCATCAGAGTTCTGCTGTAGAAGCTTATCGGAGCAACAAGACGGGGCATATCGAGCTGAAGGTGAGTTCAGAATTCGCTGGTCTTGAGTCTGCTTTCATCGTAATCGTAATTATCATTATCACCAGTATCATTATCAACATCATCGTTATAATTATCATCATCGTCATTATCATTATCATCAACATTGTCCTCATTATCATCTTTGTCACCATCATCATCGTCATCATCATCGACATAATAATTATCATCATAATAATTATCATCATTATCATCGTCATCATTCTCATTATTATTATCGTCATTATCATAGTATTCGGTGTCCTGTTTTGAGAAACAAAAGAATAGACTCACTGCCCCCTTACAAGCATGACGTAAAAGTCGACTCACTAGGGGTCTCTGCTTCAAACTGGGAGCACGTCTGCCTGAGAAAGGAGAAACCAGCAGTCTGTATTCGAAAAAATCAGATCTGGAAAACGGACATGCACGCAAAACTCAATCTCTTGTGTACTTGCATGCAGACTGTTGGTTTCTCGCCTCTCATGCAGATGCACTCCGGTCTCCAAAGAACCATTTCTAATTAGTAGTTTTTCACACAAGATTGTTAACTGGAGACAACGGATCCATTTTGTTTAAGCTCAAAATAGGTCACCGCTACCCACACGGGCCAGTATTAACGATATTTTATTTAATGTTTCTCTGTCAATTTACTTCCAGCCAGGGGATGTAATCTCTGTAGGGGGCAATCATTGGAACGGCTTCTCAAGGGGAACGAATCAAAGGACCAGACAGACAGGCCTCTTCCCTTCTTACAAAGCTGAAGATACTGTTGTAGCTGCAGACATTCCGACCTACCCCCAAGTTCCACTCAAGTTAAGCAAGGAGACTAGCAGGGATTCTTCTGCTGCTTCTTTTTTATGTTCACCAGCTGGCGGAAAGCTCTGGTTATTCATCCACTTTTTGACTGCAGCCCTGTTCCAGATCCTTAGTGTTGCTTGATCAACTAGCTTTCTTTATTAATTAGAATAATAATCTCCTTGTGAGATGAAATTTTTCGTTATTTTAAGCCCTACTCTGGCTCTTGCCAGGGGCCGCTTCATAGCCCGGCCATACATATGGTCTAATTTCTGAACGCGGTTTCTGGGACCTCTCCACCGGTGATTCTCATCCGCATAGTGGCACTTTGTGTCACCGGGTGTTTATCATTTATGTGATGTAGTGGTGTGGTGCAACTACCTCCCTAACTACCTATCTAAGAAGTAAAGATCCCTTTACACGGCCTTAGGCACATCATGCATATGGGAAGAACACGCATATTTTTACAGACCGATTGGCACTCGGTGGGTAATGTCGTCAGCATTACGCCGGCCGTCTTTACTTTCCCAGCACAGCCCATCCTTGTACCCATTTGAGGCTGGGTCGAACTGCGACGTCCCATACCACGATAAAAATCCACGCAGCCCGCAGTGGGTTTCGATCGCGATGCGTTGGATTACGAGTCGGACTCGCAAAGCCTTGACTGAGCTTGCACCTCCTCTAATCCATATCGCTTCCTCCTTCTTGCATCTTCCCTTCTACTGATGCTTTTGTTGTTTTCTTTTGAGAGTTTTTCAAACCTAACATATCAGTTTAAAATTAGTTGTGTAACCTTTACAAGACGTTGCAGAACCAAACCCAGCAATTATTTTGATTGTTTTTGTTTTTGTAGGCAAATTTTACGTTTAGTAGTTTGTCATTGCCCTGAACGGTCAGCTCTTAGTACCATTGTCGAAATCAAAGCAAGCAGCTATGATCGAACCCGCTACACCGGCATTACGAAGCGCGTTCGCAACGCCTAAGCCACAGATGCTGACAACGTGTCAGTAGAGATGACGAATTCTGACGTAAAACGTCCACATAATAGTTACAATGCTACAAGAGCTGCTTCTCTAGCTTTTGCTTCATCACATATTATGGCCCGGCTATATTCAGTGCCCCGACAAAAGCCAGGATCTAAATTCAAATAACGAATAAAATATATATAATGCACTCTCTCTTCTCAATTGTTGTACTTTATAAGGACATACCACAAGCGATAAAAACCCGGTGACACAAAGTGCTACAATGCGAATAAGGATCACCCGTGGAGAGGTCCCAGAAACCCCTTTCAGCCGTAAGCCGTATTTATGGCCCTGCTATATTCAGGGCCCACGGCAAAAGCCACGGTGGGGCTTCAAATAACGAAACATTGTATCCCACATGGGAACGACTAATATATATATATATATATATATATATATATATATATATATATATATATATATACATGTGTGTGTATATATATATACATATATATATATATATATATATATATATATATATATACATGTGTGTGTGTGTATATATATATATATATATATATATATATATATATATATATATATATGTATATATATATATATATATATCAGCTCATCAATGAGTAGTACACTGTTTCTAATCTTTATCAATGATTTGCCAGAACAAATCAAGACCGAAAAGGCCCTGTAAGCTGATGACCTAGCAATATAGCAGAGTTATGAAAATGTGGAAAGTGGAGCCCAACGACTAAATGGAGACCTTAGAAGACTGCATAAGTACTGCCAAAGATGGAAACCTAATGTTTACCTTACAAAGACCTGCGCAACAATATTTACCAAAAGCCACCAAGTAGCAAGGAAGAATATTAACCTAAGGTTGTCAAACACCAAGTGATGAAAGAAGAGCATCCTACATACATTGGAGTCAAACTTGACCGGCAGCCCAGCCTCAAAAACCATATTGAAAACGTAAGGAATAAGGCATTGAGGCGATTAAAGAGACTTGCAGGTACATCATAAGGAGAAGACAAGGAAAAGCTGTGGGGCTTATATCTTATATATGTTCGCTCTGTGATAGAGTACAAAAACTGACTGCTCAAAACCTGCTCCAAAACTAACCTAGAGATTCTTGACAGAGTACAAACTAATGCCCTCTGCAGAGATATGCGGTCTACTCCAACTGCTGCATGTGAAATAGAAACAAATGTGGGACCCCTCGGGTTGCGGAGAGAAAAAGCCACTTTAGAAATTTATGAAAGATGAGTTAGAATCAATCGTAACCATCCTAATAGACACCTTGTAGAAAACGTGGAATACAAACAAAGAATAAAGCACAAATCTGTTTTACACTGTGTTATGAAATTCAGGACAGATATCATCTCCCAGAAAGACGTCAAGGCATTCAGAATGTTGCAAGAAACCACGGCCTTCTATATTTATAGGCCACACAGATCAACGGGGATTCCCGTTCTTGTGCGAGAATGGAGTCCGTTTGCGTCCACAGTTTTTATCGAGCAGATGTATATACAAATTAAACTACAGTTTCATTAATGTGCGACATATTTTATAGAACTATATGTCATTTTTAAGGTAAATAGGTTTGCTATTAAATTATAACAATAAACGCTACTACGGACAAACAAAAAGGCTTTTGCTACAATCAACATGAACATAAACATCAATAACGTATAGAAATATAACTGAAAGTTATTCCAGCAAAAGTTAAAAAAAATATTCGTATTAGTGCAAACTCTTTGATTCTGAGAGGGTATTGTTGCAACAGCTGAAAATGTGCATAAGAAGTATATGAACAACCAGAAGTTTCTGCCAGAGTTTACAGCCAGTGTTCTCGAAGCAGAAAACAATTCACAAAAATGAACACAGACCGTACAACTGCAAATGTGCATAAGAAGTAGATATACAACCAAAAGTTTCTGCCAGAGTTTACCGCCAGTGTTTTGCGAATCAGAAGACAATTCACAAAAAAATGAACACAGACAGTACAGCTGTAAATGTGAATAGGAAGTAGATGAACAACCAGAAGTTTCTGCCAGAGTTTACAGCCAGTGTTGGCGAAGCAGAAAACTATTCACAAAAAATGAACACAGACCGTACAACTGTAAATGTGAATAGGAAGTAGATGAACAACCAGAAGTTTCTGCCAGAGTTTACAGCCAGTGTTCGCGAAGCAGAAAACTATACACAAAAAATGAACACACACTGTACAACTGCAAATGTGAATAAAAAGTGGATGAACAGCCATAATTTCTGCCAGAGTTTAGAGCCAGTGTTCGCGAAGCAGAAGACAATACACAAAAAAGAACACAGACTGTACAAATGCAAATGTGCATAAGAAGTAGATAAACAACCAGAAGTTTATGTCAGAGTTTATAGCCAGTGTTCGCGAAGCAGAAGACAATTCACAAAAATGAACACAAATGGTTGAGGAATAATATTATTAGTGTTCTTCTGTGAAATGAACCTTGGTTTGACTTGAAATGAACCTTGGTTTGCACCGGCTTTAACTTAGGGTTGAGAACACAAACGCCACTCAGCTTTTTTATACATTCTGTCAGTTTATTCTGGTCCATTTATTTCACATATTCAAACATTATTCACACTTCTATCACTCGCGACATATTCGAACACTAACCATTCGCGCGACATAAAGACATCTTCAACCAAATGCAACCGTCCTCCTCGACTTCTGTTGATCCACAGACCACGAGGCTAGCTCGGGTTTTACCTCGTGTACTCGACCAGCCACAAGTATCTCGTGCCGTCACTTGTAGCACGGACTTTTTGCTTGCCACAATGTAATCGTGGAGACCATGCAAATCAGGGTCATCACATTCTACAACATATAATTATACTGTTAGTCAACAATTAGTAAAGAGGCAAAGAGTGACCTGCTGTAAGAGGTTAGTTAGTAAATTACCCAGAGCTCCGAAATATCTGGACACTATTTATTTACAGTGTAGTTGCACTATTTATGCACAGTCAATATAAAAGCAACATCGTGTATATCCACTTCACAATACCCGCTTGTCGATTTGTAATACCAATACATTCAGAACACAGAACTTTGTAAGCACATTAAAATGTCACACGATGCATCACATGGAAAGGGCTTCCAGTAAACAGTTTCCGTGAGACTACTTTCATAAAGTGACGTGATTCAGTTGTTAGGCATTATTAAAGCAGGCGTTGCAAGAAACCTACCACAACATTCGCGCTTTAAAGCTCCAGAAGTCCGAATTAAATTGGTAGGCGAGGAAACCAAAAAGTCCGACCCAATCGCTCTTATTAACTCATCACTAAAGACCGTTGATTCTTATCCCCATGAATGGATTTATACTGATGAATCTGAATTAAATCTACCAATAAAGCAGGTTACGGAATTTACATATGTTATCCCAATGGATCTGTTGAAGAGATTTTTGATGCATGCGGGGAATTCTGATCAAATTATGAAGCCGACATAATTGCACTGGAAACAGCAGTAGACCACATGAAGACTGTAATGGAAGTTTACCCTTCACAGATTGAATGTCTGCCCTTCAAGCTCTAGAGGGCAGTGAACGCTGCAGAACTGACATAGCCAAGATAATCCTGGATGCTGATCAGCTTATTTATTACACACAATATTAGAATAGTGATGCAGTGGATTCCAGGCCACTCCGGCACACCAGGTAATGACAGAGCTGACACACTGGCAAAGAAAGAAGCAACACAAGAACAACCACCTACAGCGAAACCCTCCAGACAGCAAAAACACCTGTAGGAGCCATAAACAAAGAGACTTGGTTAAACAGATGGGCCGTGGGAGACACTGGAAGAGAGGTGTATAGACATATGGCTGGCTCTGATCCTAATGACAGCATTAACCATCTACAAGAGGGACCAGGCCACCATCTTCAGACTTGGAACACAACATACTCCACTCAGTGGACATCTAAATAGAATACAGCCACAACACTCTCCAGAGTGCCAGCTATGTAACTACCCCTATGAAACTGTTGAACACCATCTCTTTGAGTGCCCAAAACTCAGCGAGACTAGAAGAATGCTACTCCCTCCGAGACCAGACAAGTGGAACACCTTGTACGGAGGAAAAGAACAGCTTGTGAAAAAATGCAAATTCAATTACATGGCATTTAG